ACCTGTCGACCGAGCGTCGCGCCTTGCGAAACAGCTTGTTGTCTCAGCCAAGCTGGCGCCAGTATCGCCTCATCAGGAGCAGCAGCTCGCCGCTCATCGACCGACAGCGAAAGCGCAGCCAACAATCTCGAAGCCCAATTTTGAAAACTCTGTCCCAAAAGCCTGTCCGCCTCGTCGATGACCAAGAACCTTAGTTGCTGCAGTGAGATAGCTGCAGCAGCGGATAGACCTGCGCGCTTCCTCGGCGAGCCAATCGAATCTTCCTCCACATCGCTCGCATCCTGCCCTCGAGCTCCGAGCAGGTGATCCACCAGCCTTCCAGGTGTGGCTAGAAGAATGTCCACCTCGGACCGCGCCAAACTTGCCGCTTCGCTAGCAAAAGATTTGGAGCCCGTCACGCTAGCTATGCGCAAGGGCAACGTATTTCTCCAAGCTGAATCTCCCCCACTCGTTGCCTCCGTGCTGGCCGACTTGGATGTTCCATACGCTCTAAGCAGCATCTCGAAAGTCTCTCGAACTTGATTCACCAGCTCTCGCGTAGGAAGAATGATGAGCGCTCGAAGAGCCGGAATCCTTCTACGTCGGAGGACCTCGAGGATGGGAACGCAGTACGCCAACGTCTTGCCGCTACCGGTGGGCGCAGTGACGCACAAGTCGCGTGGCAGTGTGCGCGCGTCCAGTCTGCTTGTGGATGCTGCGGGGTACAGCGAGTGCGCGTCTGGATGCTTCAAGAGCAGCGGTATGACGGCCGTTTGGACTGGTGGGGTGGGTATGTGAGACGATGAGCGGAGCGGTGGGGCGTGCTAGCAGGACATGATCACGCACCTGCGAACCATTCCTTGATGCCCAAGCCTTGCAGCTGCGCTTGCATTTCTGGACTGACCATTCCAGCGCCCGCCGGTGCCCCAGCCGGCTGGCTGGTTCCGTCACTGTGATCTTCTGCTGCACTGCTCAAGCCAGCGGTCAGCTGTGGATCCACCACGGTTGCCCTCCTCATGCCTTCTGGCAAGCCTTGATCAGCGAGGATCTTTGCATCTGGCACCTCTGCTCTGCGCGCTGCAGGAAAAGCTTGGAGCGGTGCTGGTTGTGCAATTGATGATGCGAAAGCTGGGTCAGCTTGAGCTTCCGCTTCTGCATCGTGCGATGGAGGTGACGCGCTGCGTGCAGATGAAGCCGATGACTCGCTTTCGCTTGCGCTCGAGGAGGAAGAAGAGGAGGAGGAGGAAGAGGGATGTCTGGAAGCGACAGCGGCCGTGCTCGCAAGGCCTTCTAGCGCGCCCACTTTCGGGTTTTGTTCCAGCACCCTGCTCTGCGAAGCCGCAAGCGCAGGAGCATGGGCATGGGCATGGGCATGGGCAGGAGCATGGGCAGGAGCATGGGCGTGGACAGGTACAGTCGAGGCTTCGAATGAGCTGACACGGACCTTGTCCGACAGTCGAGCTGCAGCACCGCCACCGCCCTGTTCCTTCTTTGCGCGCTTTGCAGGTCTGTTCTGCCTGATTCGCCTCTTTTCCTCTTTGCGTAGTCTTCTCATCTTTGCCTCTTCCGTCTCCTCGGGCACCGTTTGCGCAATGTGCGCCTGCATCTCCACCTCCAGGCTGCGTTTGCCAAGATGCTTCTCCGCTATCGCACCACTGTTCGCTCCTGTGCCCGTACCTGTGCCTGTGCCTGTGCCTGTGCCCGTGCCTGTGCCCGTGCCTCTTCTCTGCTTCCTTCGCTCCTTTTTGGCGCGCAAATATCGCTCCTTTGCTTTGGTCTTTTCTTTCGCCGCGCCGCTAAGCGATGAGCGCTGTTTGCGATCCGTGGCCCTGAGCGTAGAGGAGATAGCCAAGCGGGAAGGATGAATGGTGGGTGCTGCGCGGGGCGGCGCAACTTCAGGTTCGGTTGCGGTCGCGGTTGCGGTTGCGGTTGCGGTTGCAGAGGTAACGCCAGCAGCAGCAGCAGCAGCAGGAGCGACTAGACTGGCATTCTGTGCATCGCCAGACACTTCGGAGATGCCTGCTAGCGCCTTGCGTTGAGCCAAGCGAGCGTTGAGCTGAGCCAACTTGGATTGACGAGGATCCGGCATGGCAGGTCGAGAGGCAGAGGCAGAGGCAGTGGCAGTGACAGAGGCGCTGCCCATCCCTCCATTCTGCCCCACAGCCCCTGCGCCAGCAGCATCGAACCTGGCTACGTTGAACATCGAATCGCCCGCTGTCTCTGAGCTTTGTTGTGCCGCCAGAGTGGGATCAGGGTCACGAGTGGGAGATGGATGGAGCGAGTCGCGCGTGGTCAAGTCCAAGTCACTGTGGCTGTGACTGTGATTGAGTGCAAAAGGTTCCTTCTGGCGTGGGCCTTCCTTCCTCTCGACTCCGCTTCCCAACGGGCCGCTCGATCCAAGTCGCAAGTCGCAAGTCGCAAGTCGCAAGTCGCAATTTTGAATTCAGTCACAAGTCCAGCGTCCAAAATCAAAAATCAAGAATTTATTGAGTGGCGTAGCTGCAGGCCGCACAATTTTCTCGTGCGAGAGAGCAGATCTCACGTGTCACATCGACCGCTGCGCCACGTGGCTGTCGTCCGCGCGGCAAGCACATTTGCGAGCGGCGTGACGCACACGTCGTGGACCGGCGCGCCCGGCGAATGACAAGAATCTTTGCAGCTGCCAATTCCTCCTCTCTTTCTCTCCACGAGCACGGCAGTGAGTATCGCAGACGCCTTGATCAGAGGGCATGCATGCACGGTGGCAGCACGATGGATGCTGCTCTGTTCAGCATGCAACACTCGCAGCATTTGTTCTGCTCGATGCGCGCCTTGGGGATGTGGGACACACGATCGATCGCTGACTCTACGCCCATCGCTTGCCCCCTCCGCATCGCCGTGCCGTCAGAGGACGTCAAGAAACTCAATTGGCTAGCAAGTGCCCATCATGCAGATCTTCGTCAAGACCCTGTGAGTGGCAAGGTGAAGCAGTAGTTGGGGCTATTGGCAATCTCTCCCCCCCGCTCACGTTTGGTCTTTATGCCTCTCTGCTCGCCTTGCGCCATGACAGCACGGGCAAGACGATCACCCTTGAGGTGGAGTCTTCGGACACCATCGACAATGTCAAGGCCAAGATTCAAGACAAGGAGGGAATTCCACCCGACCAACAGCGTCTGATCTTTGCAGGCAAGCAACTGGAGGATGGACGTACGCGTGAGTTGTGGGAGAGCATCCAAAGGGGAATGTGAACCGCTGTTGGGTTATAGCGACGCGGAGGCGCTTCTAACATGACCGCACGGCACGCACGCACGCACGCACGCATTCCGCGCACTCTTAGTGTCCGACTACAACATCCAAAAGGAGTCTACGCTTCACCTAGTCCTTCGTCTTCGTGGCGGAGCCAAGAAGCGCAAGAAGAAGACGTACACGACTCCCAAGAAGATTAAGCACAAGCGCAAAAAAGTAAAGATGAGCGTGTTGAAGTTTTACAAGGTGGACGGTAGCACTGGAGCGATCAAGAGGTTGCGCAAAGAGTGCCCCGCTCCTACTTGCGGAGCTAGCGTGTTCATGAGCTGGCACAAGGATAGGAGCTACTGTGGAAAGTGCCACCTGACTTATCTGCACCCTGCTGCCGACCCCAAGTGAGGCAGGCGCTCATGGTACGGTAGAAGTTTGGAAGATCGCACTCGGATCCCATCTTTGAGCGACCAAGGTACACTTTTAGGCCACTAACCCCCGCACACATGCACATGCCGCCAACATCCCCGTCGGTCTAGCCTTTACGACAAACTCCCCACTCGTGCGAATGCTCATATCGATTGTGCGAGTGCGGCTCATATGCGAAGGGATGCGTGATGAGCGAGAAAGAATGTGGAGCAAGTCCGTGTCGTGTCTGCACTTGCATTTCCTTTTGGTGTGCTGCGAAGAAGCTGGAGCATTGGATGAGCCAACCCAAAGCCAACCCAGAGTCAAGCCATTTTGATTCGTCTGCCGGGGGGGAGGGCGGGTAAATTCTTGCAAATCGCGGTCCGGTCCGGTCTGTCCAGCAGGTGATTTGCAATTTGTGCGTCATTTGGATGGGCGGGTTTGTCCGCGCTTCGCTTGCCATTCGTGATTCACGATTGCGTCTCACAAGGTGCATCGATGTCGGTCGGTTGAGGCCCTCTTTCGTGCGTGCGTGTGCGTGTGCGTGTGCGTGCACTTGCTTTCGATGGAGAGGGAGAGGGAGATTGAGATGGTGAGGGAGACGGAGAGGGAGAGGGAGAGGGAGAGGGAGATGGAGAGGGAGATGGAGATGGAGAGCTCAAATGCGCGCTCACGCTCTCGCTCTCGCTCGGGCTCGGGCTCTCGCTCGGGCTGACGGATAATGACATTCAAGCTTCGGAGTGGAAGCTTCAATAACACCTCATCTTCATCTCTCTTCCTCTCTCTCTCCCTCTCTCTCTCTCTGTCTAACTCTCTCTCTAGAGTTTGGAACTGATTGACTTTCCGAGGACCCTCAGCACAAATTCACATTTGGGAGGTTGTAGATGGTCAAGCTGCACGACTGGGCAGAGAGGTTTGAGGAATAAAAGAGAATGAAATGAGAGATGAGCAGAGGGGGAGTTGGTGGTGGGAGAGGGGAAAGACACCGTGCGTGCGTGCGTCCGTGCGTGCGTGCGTATGTGCGTGCGTGCGTGCGTGCGTGTATTGATGTAGGTTCGAGGAGGGTGCATGTGTCGAACACCTCAAAGATGAAATTCGGGAGAGCGGGTCTTGCGAGGGGGGGGG